AGTTACTTGCCGAAACATTGTTTTTGACATTTTCAAACAATGTTTTTGTAGTGAAAATTAATTTTAAAAAAATCAGAAAAGCCTATAAAAATTGAAATACTGTATTGTCATATAGTTAGGAAAAGGATTATGCATGCTTTTTTCGCAAATATTATTTGATTGTTAAGAAAATTGATTGTTTTAATAGGAGAGAAATGCTTCATAATATCGATTTTTTTCTGAAATTTCGACCATTCCCAAAAGAAACACATATGATATTCAGAATCAGTGCAAAAATCTATATGAAACAGTAAACTGAAAACTAATTTTCGTTAAATTTTGATCCTTACACTCGCCCCCCCCCCCCACCACACTTCCCTTAAGTTCGTAGTTTGACGTAAATTAGTTTTAAGTATTGAGTGTATTATTCGATACAAACTTCTGTGTTGATTTTGAATATGATGGTCAAAATCTTAGAATATAATTTCGTAAGGCTTTTCTGATTTTGTTAAATCTAATTTTTACGATAAAAATATCTTTTTAATATGTCAGAAAGAACATTTCTATAGATAACTCAACAAGATTTATCCAACCATGACGTAAAAAAGATGTTGCTCAAATTTCGAATTTTCGACATCTTACAAATACATTGTAATCATGAATTGCTGACTAAATCTCGAAAAAAAAATTTCGAAAGAGAAAACCTCGAAAAAAAAAGTCTCGAAAGATGAAATTCCGAAAGAACAAAATATAGACAAAAATTTCTCGAAAGAATAAATTTCGAAAGATAAAATCCCGAAAAAATAAAATCTCGAAATACAAAATGTAGAAAAAAGGCTAATTCGAACAGAAAAACACGAACTGCAATACCTCGAATTTTAATGCATTGAATTTTAAAAAAAATTTTGAAAGATATCCTCTCATTCTACGATCACTCGATCAAATTCAAATAGATATTATTATGGCTGGAGTATTTTCCTTTACTTTTCTTTCATACGCTCTTGCGTTCTTTTTTCGAACTTATTCTGTTGACTAGATTGGAATCATCGATTCAATCGTTTTTTGGCTAAATATTACCCAAACGTATGGCATTTTTTCGATAGTCTTAAAAAAGAAGTTGTTGTTCGTCAAAATATCTTAAAGATGATGATGGATACAAAAAAGAATATAAACAGAAACGGCGTTGTTCTTCAACAACGTGTTGATTCACTTAAATCGGATTTTAATCAGAATAAAATCAATCTTAGTGATTATCTTGAAGGACTCTCTGTGTTAACTGGGACGAAGTGATATTTTTTTCAAAATTCTTTTCTTGTTATTCTTAATGCAAATTATTTACTGCATCCATTTATTGTTATAAACTTTAAAACTAAAATTTCTATTGTATTTACATGCTATCTGATAATTATAACCATATCATATACTGCTAGCGATTCGGGATGTTTTTTGTTCGATATTTTACTGTTTCGAAAATTTTTCTTTCGGCAATTCCTTTTTTCGAGATTTTTGTTTTCGAAAAGCTGTTTTTTCGAGATGTCAGTTTTCCGAGTTTTTATTTTTTCGACATTTTATTTTTCGATATTATTCTGTTCGAGATTTTTCTTCGTAGATTTTTTTTTTCCGAGATTTAGTCAACATACCGTAATCATAGTGGTATGAATATAAATAGAATCGTTTTGAAATCTCACATTTTTTTAATAGAAGTTTATTTCGTTATGCTGTAAAACATTCTCATCGTCATCGAACATTAACGTTCAAAGCTATTCATCGAGTGATCTAATTTTATTTTCAAAGAAAGTACTTTAGAAACATCTTTTGTTATTTATTACTTATGATGAAGCAATATGTTAAGTATGTTATATCAACAGGTGAACTAGAAAAATCTTAATCTCTCAGTGCTTTGATTTTTATTTCTAATCGTTATATATCAAAATCGCTCTCATATTCAATATACGAGTCATAGGATATGTGTTTTAAAGGTATTTTTTAGATTTTAGTCAATATACTTAGGCATCATTATCGTTCTTTTCCAATAAATCTATCTATATCTAGTCGATTGCTTGCTAATAGTTGTAAATCTATGCTACAAGATTTATTTATTTCTAATAATATGATTTAACTTAGAATCAAATCGATCCAAAAAAGTTGCGTAAAGGTGTTGATATGCCACGTGATTATGATATAAAAATTAATCGTAATACAATGACTGTGATGATTTCAAGTGGTTTGTCCAAACAATCGAGTAAAATATTCAAAAATTGATTTTATGTTTTAAATTATTTTTAAATTTGATATTATTCTCTAGGACCAAATCAAACAAATGCTGAAAAACCACGTGGATTACAATTTAAAACAACAAATAAGTCAGTACAGGATGTTCCAAAAATCCCTTCTTAAAAGATTCTTCTCATATCTTTACTATTTGATATAACTTTATCAACTATGTTTTTTTAATGATAGGTCGATATACTGAGTTTTTATTTATATAAACTTCAAAAATACTGTTCTTTTTATTGACTTAATTATTTTGACCTTTAATGAGATCGCTTCACCTCTTTCAATGTATCGATCATTAAACTTGTCGTTCAATTGGGAGCGAACTGCCTTCGAGAGATGGACCAGCACACGATTCTGTTCAAAATTTCGTATTTTGAGTAATCCTTCTTTTCATTAAAAATTGTATAAAAAAAAAAGTTTCGAAGCATGTCAAGGTACTTTTATTAATCAATTGTTTATTTGTCACACAAAAAACTGTTCCTATGATTAATTTGCTTGACATTACAGACCACATCATAAGCTTTGGTGAGTTTATTACAACTTCTACAGTGTCAACATATTTATTCTGAGTCTAAATACGACAGTTGTGTTTATTTATCATGCCTGAAATATGTAAAAGAACTTCATCGGAATAAAAGATCCGATCATAATTGCCTTGATCACTAACGAGGGAACCTTTTCAGATGATACCCTCCGTTTTGATTCGTTCTTATCTCATTTAATCGAGTATATTGAGGTAGTAAAAGGCCTAAAGGAATTTTTCCTCAATGTTCTTCCTTCAAAAGTTATGGTCGTTTTATTGAATTTTCGATCCGTTCCCAGGTATTTACGAAAAAATCAAAATAGGGAATTTCGACTTGATATTTCGTCCATAGATAGGCCTAATGGTTCTTAGAATATACTGAAAGTTTCAGCTAAAAAGAATGTTCCTTTCTTGAGATATTGAATTTTCAAGTGAACTCGGTTTTTGTGACCAATCTGTAGCAGGCGACTATTTTTTGGAAATTCAATATCTCAAGAAAGGAGCATTCTTTTTAGCTGAAACTTTCAGGATATTCTAAGGACCATTAGGCCTATATATGGACGAAATATCAAGTCGAAATTCCCTATTTTGATTTTTTCGTAAATACCTGGGAATGGGTCGAAAATTCAATAAAACGACCATAACTTTTGAAGGAAGAACATTAGGGAGAAAATCCCTTTAGGCTTTTTACTACCTCAATATACTCGATTAAATGAGATACGAACGAATCAAAACGGAGGGTATCATCTGAAAAGGTTCCCTCGTAAGAATAGACAACAAGATTTCGACTATTTCAGTATGAAAATTTTTGTTTTCGTCGTAAATCTGTTGTGTAAAAGGCATCTTATATGATTTGTATCCGAATACTGGACTCATAGTTCGATGCACATCTGATTTTTAAATATTAATTTCTTAAGAAATACAATGAATACTGTTGATTGAATTCTTTGATAACACATCAGCAATTTTTTCTAGTTTTTTGGCTGTTGCTGATAACAGTCTTTCTGATCGTAAACGATCATGGATTAAAATCAGTTTCAATAAAATTATCATTAAGAGCTTTGATACTTCCTCTCTATAGAAATTTGAAGTAAACTTTTGCATTGAAAATGTCGCTCGACTGATAATGGAGATTATATTTTAGTTATTATGAGAGAAATAGCAATTCTTAACCGTATATTAATCAATTTTTGGTTGTATATGAAGTGCACATATTTTTTATTAGTTACTTATGACTTACATTTCTCGAAGACAGTTTGCGCCTAATCGAATGGCACGTTTGATAATCGATGTATTGGAAGAGATGAACCGACCTCCTGGGCTCCACAGTCACCGGTCTTGATACCAATGTGAAAACAAATGTCTTTAAAAGATCTAGACGATATTAAAAATCAAAATAATTGAAGAAATTAGAAAACAAATGTTGCATCATGTTTTTGATAAAGTTAAATTAAATAATAAAGATATATGAAAAACCTTTTAAAGCGATACTTTTGGAATATGTTGTGTAATTAGTTCGATTTATATTAATATACATATAATTGATCTAGTAATTCTTCTCGAAAACCACCAGCTAAACCTCCACGACCATCAGCTGCAAAGCCGACAAAACAAAAGAAACTTCGAGCATTATATGATTTTCAAGCACGATCAGCTGATGAACTTTCATTTGTTGCTGATAACGAACTATTACTTATTGATAGTAGCGGTAAGGAATTTTATTTATTTCAATGTATTATCTCTCTTTTGTTTTTCTTTTTGTATTTTTTTTAGATGAAACTTGGTGGAAAGCGGAACTTGATGGAAAAACTGGTAAGTAATTATTTCTTTTTTATATATTTCAATTAATTTCGTTTTATTTTTAGGAGTTGTACCGTCAAATTATGTTGAACTGATTGTCTGATTTCATTATTGCAATTGAAAGATTTACTCACAGTGACTGTTAATTGCTTTTTCATTAAATCTGTATTCATTTTTTTGTATTCTTTTCTTGTCTCTCATTTTATGCACTTTATTATCCAAACTTGTTTTTTTTTCTTGTTCACTTAAATGAACTGGGCTTTGTTTTTTTCTTCCTGAAATTTCATTTCTATACAGATTAATTTTGTCTTTATTTTTATATGTCATTGATAATACTCGCTTCATTATTTGATCAAGTTATTACATATTCCGTATTTGATTTACAGAAAAAAAAAAAAACATGTGACGTTTTCCCTTGTAGATGTCAATAGTAAATTCCGAATCGATAACAACACTAACAGTAATGTCAAATGAAAAGAAAAAAAAAAGATTTTAAAGCAAAAAAAATGACTTTTATGATTTAGCGAACACCGATTGTAATCATAAAGCCTATTCTTTATGGTAATACAGCGAAACATTTTGGTTCAAAACGAGATTCTGATGGACATACACATAAATGGACACTCTATGTTCGATCATTTAATAATGATGATCTATCAACGTATGTAAGTAAAGTACAATTTCGTTTACATGAAACATATCCAAATCATACAAGAGGTAAATTACGAATATGAGAAAAATCCTTTTGAATTTTTTTTTTCTCTAATGAAATTGTTCTCTTTCTTAGTGATTACACAAGCACCATTTGAAGTAGAAGAAAGTGGTTGGGGTGAATTTGAAACACAGATAACGATCTTTTTTGCTGATCCTAATGAAAAACCAGTATGGTTTTGTTGTAGATATAATTTTTTTTTATATTGAATTCATATATTCTAGGTAGCATTTTATCATCATTTAAAACTATTTTCAACAGATCCAGATGTTGTTGCTGGTACAAAAGCATTAGTCAATGAACATTATGATGAATTGGTAAATGTTTTAATCAATTGTGATAATTAGAAAGTTAATTTAATACTTCAAATACTGAAGTTCTTTGGCTATTTAATATTTTTATTGACGAAGAAACATATGCAACTGTCAGACGCTTTTCGGCTTCATATTATTGTCACGAGTAGGTCCCAATAAGACTGAAGAACATTAAAAAGGATTCGAAACTATAGTTTACTAATGAAGAGTTATGGTCGTTTTAATGAAATATTTACTTAGTACAAAACATTTTCGAAAAACTCAAAATAAAGGGTTTCGAGTTGCAATTATGCCTATAGACACATTTCATAGGTATTAGATAGTAATGAAATTTTCAAGAAAAACGAACATGTCCTTGTCAACATATTCAATTTTCAAAAGAACCAACGATCAATCATAGAAAGACAAAATAATTGAGTGTCCTTAGAAATTGAATATCTCGAAAAAGACATGTTCATTTTTGTTGAAACTTTCACGATTAATCATAATAAATGACTATCAAATCTACCTATAAACATAATTTCGCCTCAAAACTGTTTGTTTTGAGTTTTTCGGAAATGTCTTGCTTTCAATAAAAATTTAATGAAAATCATCATACTTTTTCATCAGTTACCTATAGATCTGAATTCTTTTTAGTTTTCCTTAATCTCACCTAGACTTATTTGCAGCCATAATATTATGGACTAGAGCGACATCCGACAGTTGGATAACTATCCTCGTCAGAGATGCTACGATTATATAAAAAGATCAATCAAAATATATTTCGGATTTAGTAGAAAGTGCTCAAAAATTTATTTAGATATCTCCAACTTCTTTTAGTCAGTCGCACTTAGGAATATGTTAGAGTTTTTTTCAAACACTATTATCAATGATTACACTGAAGAAATTACTAACTCACCATCTTACAAATCGTGACAAACATATAAAAGATTTGATGAGATATTCTTCTATGTTTCTTGTTAATGATTAGTGTACGATTCAGTTCTATAGTGATTCCTGTCAATATTCATAATTCTTTTCGTTGCAGATTTTTCAAGAACCATCTGATTTATTAGCTCGTCTGCTCAATTGTGCTAAATCACTTGCACCACCGACAGATGAAAATTTAGCAACTGAAAAGGAATGTATGTAATCAAAATATATTAATAATATTAAAAGAATATGAAGAATTATTTTAGATGCTGCAAAAAAGCTTGACACAATAACACATATAAAGGATGCTCGACAAAGAGTACGAAATGAAATTCAAGATTTAACCGAACGTCTTCGTATTACTCAAGAAAATATAAAACGTGTTCGACAAAGATCAATAGATACTAATTCTTCTATTGGTGTATTTAGTATGTTAACACATGATAATGTCAAACGCGAAATGGTCGATTAAAGTAGATAGGAGAATTGTCTGGACATAATTTTGTTGTTGTTCTTTGTAAATAATGTAAAGATATTAACCTTTACTTATCAATAAAAAATAAAAGGTTTAGAACAAGAGGATGATTTCACACGTAGAATAAAAATAGACAAAATATGTAAGGCATGTCTTCAAATATTTCACAATATACTATAACTCTTGTGGTCTACTAATTATCAACAAGACATATTCAGGTATCACTTAATTATAAACGGTAGATAAAGCTCAAGAACTGCGATATATATTAGCTATTAAGTCACTAAGAATTGAAATGGCAACTGTAATCACCAGTGTCGCTTTGCATTGGGCTGATATATTAGTCTTGGTTGCATATTTTGCCATCGTTATTGGATTTGGTATTTGGGTAAGTTCACAAAACTAGTGCGAAAAAATGAATATCAATCTAAACGATTTATAAGTAGGACATTTTATGGTATTCGATGCCTATGCTATCCAGCAAACGTTTCCTGATATTTTATTGAATACTGAGCGAAATAGGCATAGTATATTTTAATTTTGTTTAATTGAATAAAGAAAAGGATTTACTTGTTGACAAAGCTCGAATTATGTTTCAGTCCCATATTAGAGTTCTGCAAAGTAAACATTACCTTATCTTGTATTTTGTGTTAGAAGAATTTTGTAACTCTTATTTTACCCAACGAAGTTTATTTCTCACTCTCTTATAAGCAGAGTCTAGCTGCGAGACTTCGAAAAGTGGTAAATATTACCACGTTTCTCTGATTTATTGTGCTTTTATTACAAGGTATTGAATTAGAATTTTTTGAAAGTTGTAATGACAAACATATCATGACAATATCATCAATGACATCTTGTTACTGCTCTTGACAAATTCTCTTAGTTGCATAAAATATTCTTTCTCTTGCATGTGACGCAGCTGGTATATCATC